GATCCCAGAGCTCAAATTGTGTTAGAATCAGGACTCCTTCTTTTTGTTTAACTTGTTCTTTTGCAACCCCAACTCTTCCCTCCTCCTCCTCCTCCTCAGTTCCACAGCGCCTTTTATCAATGGAAGCCTGATTCTCCTTCAGCCCTCAGATTTGATAGAATAAGGAGTGATGCCGTGAAATATTCAACTGCAGTTTTTGGGATGAAATGTCATTTGGCTGGCCCAGTGATGGTAATAAGCCCATTGGTTTTGGGATGAATTCTGGTTTGGGGAACATAAAAACCAAATATTATAAAGAAAGAAAGAAAGAGATACCTAAGGGAACAATGTGACAAAAAAAATTAAGTACTGTATTTTTAGTTAATGTTTTATTGGTCATGGCTCATAGAAGCCATCGATTGTAGTTTTTTTTTTAATGCTAATTAAGAGTTGCTAAATCGATTGAATCCCCCCTTTCACAAAAACATAACAAGTTGCCAAAAGATAAACTTTTCAGCTACATAATTGACAATCTGTCAAATTTTGTGCAGAACTAAAGCGACAGAAGATGAAATCGCTGTTTGAAACTGCACAATTAAAGTTGTCTGAATTTGTATTTGAAATTCACAATAAGCTGACACTTGAAGTTTTCACACTTTTTTTCTCCAACATGATTTTCAACAAACGGGCCCGCCTACCGCTCGCCAATTTGTGGCGTCTCTCCTGTAAATCTCTGAGGCTGCTGCTCAGTCGAGTGACTGTTTGAAGAGGACGTCCTTTGTAAATACCGCAGACGTTTCCCCCCCACACACACACGCCACCATGCTTGGAGCTGGGAGTCGATGAAGACATTACCAGGCCTTATTCGTTCACACACTTAACGTCTGTCGACTGCGGAGAGTGAACCGGATGTACAGCACTGTAACTGTTGGCTCTCAAAAAAAATGTGAATCTGCTGCAGGAAAACGGGGCGGCTGCGTTTCTCGACCTACAAACGACGCAAATACAGTATTAGTCGTTTCCTCCGATATCCTTCAGCCCCAAACCCCAACCCCCCCACGTAACCACAGCTTCTGCAATAACCCTCAGTACACAAATAAAGGTATTTTGTACATACACTTTTGGACCACCGCTTCCGCAAGAATTTTACATCGATGGAGGAAAAAAAAGAGAAAAAAGAAAAGTGAACAGGTTTACTATCTCACTCTTTTGCACGTTAGCAAAATAGCTCGCATGTAACCTGCAGCACATTGTCAACTTGTGTGCTGTTGTTTTTGAAGGGCCCAGGTTTTTTGGCTGTTAAAGTGCACTTGTAACATCTTCAGACTACTTCATCTCTGATTTAATGTGTTCAGTGGAGGAGCTAGTCGCTCATGCTCATACGGGGGGAAAAGGTACTAAAACAAGCAACTGTGACCAAAACCATGCGTTTGGTATATTTAAGTATGCAGGCAGGGTATGTGTTTGGTTCTTTTTGAATTCAGTGTTAAGTTTGAGGTATCAAGAAGCTTTAAAATGTTGGATCTCTTCAAGTTTACCCCTCAGACATACGAGATGAATTTTATTGCTGGTATTCGATTTGGCTCATCATGTTACAGTTAATCTACTTTATTCTATCTATATTTTGCTAACTTCTAGCAAATTAATCATAATTATAATAATATAAGTATTCCTGATTTATTTAAGTGGTGTTTTCATTTAGGGAATCCACTAAGAATGGGCCAAATGTGGTTATTTAAGTAAATGAATGTACAGTCTTTCCATGTGTTATAATAAGCTTTTTAAGTATTGGTACTGACAATGATTTCAGCGAGCCCTGTAAACGCTGTATTATGCCTGTCTGCACTCTCTCGTCTGACTTCCTTCAACACTTTTTCAGACCATTAATCAGCCTAGTTTGGGTTTTAGATTCTCCCATTTGAAGCAGAATCCACACACAGCGTTAAAGAGGGGGGAGTTCACCAGTCCACAAACCGCCGGTCGCTACATCTGTTCACACATTACTGGTCCTGGAAACAAACACAATGGTATTCCTACAAAACCGTTCACTATGCATGTTCTACAGTACACTGTCTTTCTTTTGTCTCAGTCGGTCATGTAATATTCATACCTGTATTTATATATTTTATTTTATTTGGTCTTATTTTATTTTGTTCTCTCATGATAAACTGTACAGACGGATTTGTTTTTTGTTAACTTCCACCTGTGATAGATTTGCAACAATGTAAAGAAATTGTTTGCTCTAGAAATAAACGGAATAAGAATTGATCTGGATGTTTGTTTGTTTGTGGATGTAAAGCCCCGCCCCCTTTTGGGACCTTGGTTTCCTGTACTTAAATATTCTTATATTTGGTAAGACAAACACATTTTGAGGATGTTTAAAAGATAAAAGTAACATATAGGCCTATATAGTAATATGTTAAGTTAGCTAATGTTAGCTTTTATACAGTAATCTATATCACTTGTTAACTAAGTTATTAGCTAGCGTTTTTCATTAGCTGTCAGATGTAACTAGCTAGCTAACAATTAATTTAGATTGGCTAGCTAGTAATAATCAATAATCTTAATTTTAAGCCTTAAAATATGATTTTTAAAACTTCTGTCTTAAACATTGATTGGATTAATGAAGTTAATGTTACTTTATTGCATTTTTCATGTTGCTTTTAACCCATTAATGACTAACGACAGTATTTAGTAAGAAAAAAACAAATATTTTTTTCTGTTAAAGATGAAAACATAAAATGTGCTGTGGAAACTTCATGTTTATCATAGACATTTTCTTTTCAAAATGTTAAAACATCAGATTTACACATCTGATTAAAACTTAAGTTCTGCTGAATCCAATGTACCAAACATTAAACTCCTTGTAGTTTTTGAGATGAAGCCATTTCTGTATGTAGTCACTAGGGCTTACTCATTTATGTGTGGATCAAAAATGATGAACATCTGAAAGAAGAAACCTGACTAATGACTAAAATAAGGAAAGAAAAAAACTTGCTTGAGCTTCATCCTTTACTGGTTTGAGAAAATTATGCTTAAGTGCTGAAACGGGAATTATAAAATTCCACTGTGGACTTTAATCTGTTTAATGGGTTTTTGGGGAAACAATACAGATCTTCCTTTACATCCCATTGTAGTGTTTTTGCCAGCGTGGACATAAACATAAGTGTTAAATTGCATTTATAATGGCCTTAAAGTCTTAAATGTAACCTGTTAAAAGCAGAAAAAGCTTGTGTCTTCCCCGTTGCCTTCCCCCCACGGGTTGACCCTTGCTCTGTGACTTCCACAGGGGTACTGGCAGCAGTATCGGGTTGTTCATCCATTTACGAGCGCGTGCATCCGAGCGCTGAGGTGTGCTTAGCTGCTCTGTATAAACATTAACTTGAGCACTTTTTGAGGAGCCTCTGAAGAGACCAGACAGCAGCTGCAGGAGTTTGAACTCTAGTGCATGTTGGGATTAAACTGCATCCACAGCCGCCCCTCCATCACCATTATTATTATTAATATTATTAATATTATTACTATTATGTTAGGTGATATTAGCGGCTATAAAACTCCTGTAACTTGATTTTTAGAATCAGAAATATCCCTCATCAACAGCTGTTCTCAGAGCTGTAATTATGTTTACTCCCTTTGGTTTTGCTCCCCAAAAAACCTGCTGCCTGTTCTCATGTTTGTTTTCCAGAAATGTCCCTCACAGATTACCTTAAGTGAGTTTAGAGTCGGGCTTTAGGGCCGAGCTGTTAGCAGTGTCAACAACTGCTCAAGTAAAGCTGCTATTAATGCATCAACCCAGCTGGACATTGGTAGTGGGAGGTGTGTCTGCACAAAGGTCATCCAAGGTATGCTAATGGCAGTCCTGATGACATCACAGGGACAGTATAAGAGGCAGGGTGATGAGGTCTGGCTGCAAAACCTGTCTCACTCTCTCTCTGAGCTGAAAGCTGAGGAAAAAGCAGCAGCAGGCACTAAAGCTAGCTCCGTCTGTCTCCACCTCTTCTCCACCGGTCCCGGGATACAAGAAGACAACCGCACTGGAAAATATGCTGTTCTGCCATTCCCAGCCTGAGTCCTACCACCAGCACTCTGCTAGTTACATTAGGTAAAGCACACACTAAGAAGCTTCAGAGAACTTGTGGATTGCAGAATTATTATAATATAATATTATTATTAATATTATATATTATTGAGTATTCAAAATCAACAAATACAGACCACATAGACTACTTTTCTTTCTCCTTTTCAGTCTAATACACTTAAAATAAGCAAGATAAGTAACACGTGTTTCTAAAATCAACCTTTTGCACCTTTGTTCATGTGATTAAATGATTAGATAAAACAGGACAATCACCTTTATCGTCCCCCCCTCCCCCACCCCCCTTGCTGTGCTCAGCCCCTCTTCTTCCCCTCTGGTCTCTTTCAGAGAGGCCTTGGCGCCTTTCTTGAAAAACGAAGAAGCGAGGCTTATGGCTGAAAATGGTGCCAGGAGGACCCCATTCCAGTACATTCTGAGTGCACCCACCTCGCCAGCTGTGAAACAGCAGGAGGAGAGTCTCACTTATCTCAACCAAGGTAGCTATCCGTCCTGCTCGCTGAATGTCCACACTGACTGAATGGGACTGGAGCTCGTGTTGTCACATCCCTGCAGCAGCGGCAGGGTTAGATTAGCGCTGCTTGATTTAAACTTACACCCCCTGTAAAGGCCAAAAACATGGAAGGACAGAGTTGTGTCTGGAGCTGTCTGAAAGCTGTCTTTAATTGTCAGATGATCTTTATTCTGCAGCAGAATAATCAATAAAGCTGATTTAAGTGAGATTCCCTTTGCTAATGCTCTTACAGTCGCAGCTCTGGATTTCATGTTTTGGTCATTGTTCGATTCTAAGCAAAGAAACAGCAAAATAATGCATTGTCCTCCAATATTACCAATTCAATCTGCTTATTATTTTCACTTAGCTTATCAATACTGAATATTAAAGTTTAAATTCACAGCATTGAAACATTTTACTTTGGAAAGCATCTATCTGGATTTATGTGGTTTAAATTTTTAAAAAAAATTCCAGTGTTACTTATATTCTTTTTTGGGTCATGTGACTGATAAGACGTAATCTTATTGGACAGAAGTCTAATTGCTAACTAATCCAAGATAAAGCAACCTGATTTTTTTAACCTGACTTTTTTAATTTGCAGACCCTTTAAAATGTTTATTGAATTTAAGTTATTCCTGCTCCAGAGGCCCATCCCTATTAAAGTATTACTGCACCATTAGTTGGCAAACATAAATAATTCATAAGGAGTTACATGTGCATATAAATATAGTGTCATATATATAATATAATGTTTTATCTATGTTTTATACATATAAAAACATAGATAAAACAACATTTTTTAATCAAATTCAAATTATCATGGCCTTTTTTTGCTTCCATAGAATAATAATAATTAAACCTACAGTATAAATAAGGCTGACCTGGACTCTATATAAATATATATAATTACATAAATACAATAAATCTTTGGCATCTTTATCTGTGCAACATGAGCTCCTATATGAGTGTTAAAAGACCTTTTTCACAGCAGCCGATTTGACATGAACTAGTCGGGTAAACACAGGTGATACCAATGACTGAGTGCTCACTATAATCACCTGTGTTTACCCGACTATTTCATGTCGAAATGGCTGTCGTGAAAAAGGTCTACCTGTCTGACTTTCATCCTGTAATCTAATTCTCCCTCCTTTCCTTTTCTTCTTTGTCTTCCCTCCTTTCCAAATTGTACTTTTCTTTCCCTTTTTCTTCCTCTTCTTCTTCTTGACCTCATCCTCTTCCACTTCTGATTGTTTCTGTCTCTTCTTGTTGAACAGTGACAGTTTTTATTTGTGCTTTGTTTACCTTTATTTATCTACAAGTTTGCCCTGCTTATCTGCTGTACAGTAATTTGATTGGATTGAAAACACAATGAAAGTGAGCTTGCTGTAAACCAACAACTACACCAAGTTAATTGCCAGTTTTATTCTGCTGACAAAGCACTGATAGTCTTACAGTGTCCCTACAGTGGCTATTTTAATGACATTTTCATGTGATATTAAAGTTAATGTATCATATTTGATCAGGATGGAGATACGTAAAAAAGTTTTCTAGTGGCTCGCCTTGATATCTGGCTTAAAAGGTTTCTCATTTAATTCAATTTCTATCTCCACTGACCCTCTTTTCTGATTGACTGATTTCCCATTTTTCAATTTTAATCAGGTTTTTTTTAATGTTTTAAAATGTAGGTCAGTCCTACGAAATCCGTATGCTTAACAGAAAACTAGTGGAGTATACAGATATAAGCAGCAAATGTGTAAAGGTAGGTGTAAGGTGTTTTTTTGTTGTTTTTGTTGTCTGTTTTTTGACCTTCATGTGACCTCTTCCTCTTTCTTCTCTTATCCGTTTTTTATGTATGCATTTCCTGGTTCATCACAGGTCCCTCGACCCTCCCTTCCACTTCTGGGGTGGGGTGTCGACCTTGGAGAGCTTGGTACTATCACCCAAACTTACCTTTCCTCTTTTCCTAGACTTCACAAAAACAAAAAAACTGTTTACCACACACACTCTTTCTTAAATTTTCATACAAACTTGGGCATCTTTATACTTATATTATGTCTGGACACATTTGTTTCTTTCCTTAAAATGTTTAAAATAAACTGGTATATTCCTGCTTTCTGATTAAAACCCATTAGCAGCCCATCACTTCATCTTCAGCACACGGGTCAAAAGTGACTCCGTTTATTGCAAACACTTACTTAAGAGTAAGGAGAGCTCATTTCACCTCATTTCTTGTTTGAGTGCATCCACTTCACATGCCTGTGTCGTCCGGCTGCCATTGCTTGAGACCGTAATGTTAGCGGTAGCATCCTAGAAACACGAGAATGGGACAGGTGGCGTCTATGCAAACACGTGACGTGCCGGGTTCGGGTGCTCGGTCATGCATGAGCCTCCCTCCAGAAATATGTGTGTTTTTACAGGTTGTTCATTTATTATCTGTTTATTTCATTCAGGATTTTAAAAGGGCGCCTGTAAAGTCCCAACAGACAGATCACAGAACATGAAAATCAAAGCAGCAGAGGTTAAGATATCCTGACTTTTAGTCCCTAGAATGAGCCTACATTTCCCATAATGCAACTTGATAGCGTCCTTTATTAGACCCTCACTGCCTCTTAATTGCCAGCTAACACACATCCCCATTTTCTTTAAAAAAAAGGCTTCCTGTTAAAAATAATACGGCTCAAGCCCAATCCAAGATAACCCTGATGACATCTTCAAGGTTATTTTTATTACATCATCAAACTGATGGCGTACCCCTTTAAATAAACTGTATTTTTGTATGTGTGATATGGTGAAAAGATGTTATTTGCCAACACAAAGTGGGTCAGTCAGTTAGTAACAACAGCTACTAAAGATGCAGCTGACAGAATTCAGGGTTCCCACATAAATAATCTGAAGTTTCAACCTGACGTGATCATAAGGTATTAGTGCTATCTAATTCTGACTGTCACAACTCCAAATTTATGTGCTTGAATATCACCGAAAAGCTCTTAAAGGTCCCATAAAATGGTATTGATACAGCATTTCCTGTTGAAACTGGTCAGTACAGAGCAAAGATAATAAAATAAAAATGGACGTAGTCTCTGACTGAAGTTTCTGAAGAGCCGCTGTGAAGCTCAGTGTAGTCGGCGCTGACCGTCGGCTGAATGAAGCCTGGTTACAGAAAACAACCACCTGTCACTCAAAGCAGCCATGCCCTTAAAGGTCCAGTGTGTAGGATTTAGTAGCATATAGCGGTGTAGACCCTCGCTCCACCCTCCCCTTCCAAGCTCAAAGGAAAAAGCTCAACCATAACGATTCTGGTGATTCCACACTAATGAAAACATAGATATCCTAAATGCTACGCACTGGACCTTTAATTGTACAGAACTTTAAGCCTTAATTTAATTTCAACAGGTAAAAAATTCAACCCCTGTACAGTTGTCAGTCTGGTTTAAAAAAAACAGGCTGTAAACATGTTTATTTCTGCTGTAAAGACATTTTAATTTGGGGCCTTATGGAGACTGACTCACTGCTGGAGCCAGTCTCTAGTGGACGTTAGAGGAACTGCAGTTTCTGTTACTTTATCTGTCGCCACGGAGGTTGCCGCTTGGTATGGAGATAAAGATTTATTTAAAAAAATTGTATGAAGCCATATATTTGAAAGAATATTGTATGAGCTGCTGTTTTCAGCTATGGTACAAACAGAAACTGTTTTCCAGGAACTATCAATCTTTCGGGAAGCTCAAATATCCATTTCATGCATTTCATGGGATCTTTAAATTCGGTGCCCAAGTGAATGTGGGAGCCCTCAAAGTCCCTATTGATGCTGCATTACACAGATCACATGTAGCTCATTGGCAGTGACGGGGAAGGAATGGAGATGAAATTCACTGTGAATTTCCACCTCCTCACCCTTCCCTAAAGAAACTGCCTCAGTGTGTCTTAATGAATAAATGAGGGGAGCCTTTTTTCTCGCACTTTGCCCAACAGTCCGGCTGTTGGGCTACGTGCGAGCTCCCCCGCTCGAGCTGTAGCTGTACTCCGGGCCCTAAACGTCTGATCCTGCCTGTTCGCAGAGCATTGTGCGCGTGGTGTTTCACGACCGTCGACTGCAGTATATGGAGCACCAGCAGCTGGAGGGATGGAGGTGGAACAGACCTGGAGACCGAATCCTGGATATAGGTGAGCTGATTGTACTAACGTATGCATCAAAGTATTGGGTATTATTAGGTCCCGAGCACCGACCCTGGTGGAATTGGAATCTTCTTTAAGTGAAAGGAATAAAATTTTTGCGCATCAAGTCTTTTTTGAATCCGTTATCTTATTAAATCTGTTACCTATAGAAACAGATGTGTTTTATTTTTCTATTCGTTGTGAAATTCACAATACGAGACAGAGTCGTCATGCAATAAGGATGATTTTGACAGTAGAAAGTAAAATGTAATTGGGTCCAAGCTGTCAAGAACAAGCAGAGTTTCACCTGCTGATAAAGGAGCTGGCTGTCTCTGGCTTCTGTCCTCTGGAGGTTCGTCTGCAAGCTGTCTCTGCTCTCTGCCCGCATCTTACGTTTGGCCCCGTGGCTACAAGAGACTGAGCTGTCCTCCCTCTCTCTCTGTCTGTGTGCTTGTCTCATTTACTGGCTCTGTTCCGAAAACTTAAATGAGGTGTAAACATGATTGATGCGGCACAAGGTCGTATTTATATTCAAACATACAACAATAAAAAAAAAACAGATTTGGTGTGCAAAAAGTTGTGAAACGTGCCACACGAAGAGCAGCCCCCCTGCTGCATGTTTCAGCCATATGTTTGAAAAGACACATGTACCAGGCCCAGACGTACAAAAAAACCTCTTGGAGTCATATTCCCAAACCCAATAGGGTGTTGTTATTTTGGATTCTGGCAGTTCAGCTTCTGAGTCTGTGAAGTGTCTTAAACCTGCATTCTGTGTAACAACCAGCAGGGGGCAGCTCCACACTGATACCATTCAGTCTTAT